CGGGAAAACATTTGTCTTTCTCGAGTACACTAGTTCTCGCTAAGGAATCTCTGGTGTGATCGACACTTCCAAATGGCATCTATAAGCCCATTCCCGATAAAGTTCCGTCGCATCTCCAGATGGCATCTATAAGCCCATCTCCCTATCCACCATCTCTCCAAATGGCATCTGCAAGCCCATTCCCGACATCACATTGCTGATACTCCAACATGCGAGTGCAAATTTCCGGGCACTCTAGTGTCCAATCTCCTTTTACCCTCGAGTCACGAAAGGCAAACTTGCCAATCTAACTCTTCAGGTTCAAGAAGATTGACAGGGGCAACTGTTGTACCCCAAAATTTTCACTCCCATTTCCTCAACATTTTCTCATCACAAGACCCTTGAAAATCAAGATCCAGTTAGGGTTTCCTCTGCTCAAGACTTCTCCTTGCACTGTTGACCCAAATTAGGGTTTGTGTTTGCACAAAGATATTTTGACCTAAAATGCCTAAGATGACTTTCATGCTTCATGTTGGACTCCCAATTTTATCCATACCAAGTTTAAAGTCTTGATTCCAAATTTTGCCCAGTCAATTGGACAGTTGACCTAGAAATCAACTGTATTGGGGAAAAGTCAACTGTGGCCAATTGATAGTCAAATCTCATGAAAATTAACCCACATCAACATTATGAACTCACATGGACCATTTTATCAAGTTTGGATCACAATTCCATAAGAAACTTGATCAGATCATCAAAAGGGCAAAATGGTCATTTTTAGGGTTTTGACTGCACAAAGGCAATTTTTGACTGTTTGACCCAGCCAATGGCAAACCAAACTTACATATGGACTCAAGGACCCCATGGAATTATCTTGACATGCTCAACAAGTTCAAAGGATCCCAAATACACAAGATTGATAGTTGAATTTCCCAGTCAATTGATCAATTTTGACTGTATACTGAAAAGTCAAACTTTGACTTTTTGGTCAAAATCAAAAGTCAAGATTCATTTTTCATCAAAACATGCCAAATCATGAAACTTGTTCACCAAGAAATCAAGAAATGCAAATTAGGGTTTGAAATGGAAATTTTTCATAACTTAGAATTTTTCTAAGTTATGGAAAACCCTAATTTTTTCCCAACTTTGCCCCACTTTCTCACCAAGATTCATTTGGATTCAAGCAAAAGTCAAAACATGAAAGTTGTAGCTTGTTGCAAAATCTACAACTTTGATTCACAAAGTTTTCCCAAAAGAAGCTTGTATCTCAAGTTACAATTTTTGGAACAAGGGTACCAAATCATTCTTAACTTAGTGAAAATTTGACCTATTTTGGACAAGTTTTTTACCTAACTTCAAGACCATTTTTCATACACTTCCACTTGGAATTTCAATTTTCATTTCAAAGATGGATTGTAGTACACATTCCAAGCTTTCCAAAATGTCCAAGAACTTCTCAAACAACCTCATGGTTAGGGAGAATCGAATTTTGCAAAATGGGAAAAAGTCACTTTTGTTCTTGGCCAAGACATGTTCATACATTGGTGCCATTTTGAATTCAGCATGCTTAAGCTACATTGCAGGCCTCTAATCCCATTTTCACTCAATAATTCAATGCAAAACCATTGTGCCAAGATGTTGTTCTATGCATTTGGACATTACATGGAGAATTAACCCTTAATTAGAAAAAGCATTATTTCCATTTTGAAAAAGTAGAACTTTATGTCCATTTTGCAAATCCAAGTGGTACAGTCCAAATCTTCTTGGCACAAGTTTATGAGCAAATTGCACTGATCAAGGCCAATTTATGCAGCATAGTGTGAGGGCCTGTACAGGCTAGAAACATCAAGTGGCCTTTGCTTGCTTAAGTGTGAAGAAAGATAGCATAACAGATACCAACTTCCATTCCTGCAAACCAAGCCTTAGAGAAAGTTGTCACACACATTCTAAACATCAAACACAAGCTGAAGCACGACCCTAAGACCACCAATACCTCCCCATTGCCAGAATCACTCTCAAACTGCAAAAACAGAGCAACCTCTGCAGATTGAGTTCCAACTCTTAATCCTTTCAAGCATTCTTGCCCAAACCACTTCAAACACCTTCTCTACCATCAATCCAAACTATCCAAAGCATTAGAAGCAACCTGTAACTCCTCTGATCCTTTTGGCCATTTTCACTTTTCTGATTTGCAGGTGAAGTTCTATAGCACGATTCAAAAGGTTTCAAGACAAAGTAAAGCTTGGAATAGCATCCCTGGACATCAAGGAAGCTATACCAATCATCACCTTGCACTGAAAGCTTCTCCATTGCCAGATAGAACTTCAACTGAACAGGTAAGTTCATGAACTCGTATCTCTCTTATTAGGCATTGTTAGCTTTAGGTTTGTGAAGAGAATATGTCACATTCATAGCCCTGAACATGCCCATGTAATTAGATTTCATTTATATTATGTATGCTGCAAGAATTTTGAGTCTGAACATGGCATAAAAACTAGGTCAGAAATTGGGGGAGAAGAAATTCTCCCTCATCTTAGAGAGTTAAGTCAAGTTCTTTACATGGTTGGATTCGTCTTCTCATGCTCTACATTTTTCATGTTGTGAGTTTTGCTTGAAAGTCCAGGAATCAAGAGATGGAAAACGCGTGTTCTGGTTGTTCATACAGGTCTGAGGTTGAAGACAAAGTCTTCTTGGGCTGGGCCTGAGTTGACTTTTCTATTTGCACCCTTTTGTTACTTTTACACCCCCCAAGCCCATTTTGCTTATTTTTATGATTTTTTGACATTTTCTTTTTTGTCCTGACTCATTTATTTTTTCTAACAATATTAAAAATATAAAAATAATTTTTTACACCATTTTTGAATTTATTAGGCATTTGTTTGATTAGTTTAGTTTTATACACAAATAAATAAATATATACATTTTATTAAAGAATACTAAGAAATATGCAAAAACATTCTTATTTTCATTTTTTTATTTTGTTTTACCTTCTGAAAATATTTTATAGGAAAAATACTTTTTTTATTAAATATTAAATATTATTAATTTTTACATATAATACATATTTAGTAAATAATACATATATATATATATATATATATATATATATATATATATATATATATATATATATATATATATATATATATATATATATATATATATATATATATATATATATATATATATATATATATATATATATATATATATATATATATATATATATATATATATATATATATATATATATATATATATATATATATATATATATATATATATATATATATATATATATATATATATATATATATATATATATATATATATATATATATATATATATATATATATATATATATATATATATATATATATATATATATATATATATATATATATATATATATATATATATATATATATATATATATATATATATATTTAGGGTTAAAATGCAAATACATATATTTTTTATTTTTTTATTAATATTTAAATACAAAAATGCCCTTTTTTACAAATATACTTCATTTTATTTTATTTTTGTATACAATAAATAAATACTTGTACATAATAAATAAATAATGCATTTTATTTAATAGAATTAGGGTTTAACCCTAAACATGAAAAACTCCAAAAAAATAATACTTTCCTTTTTTGTTTATTTTGACATATAAAAATACTTTTTTTTTCATACATATAAAAAACCATTTTTGCATCTTGCATATTTATTTTATTTAATTTATGCAATTAAATTATCTTGTAAATAATTCAATATTGATGTAATAGTTTAGGTTTAAATTCCTTGTCAAAATCCCCATTTGAACATTTGTACCCCCTTCCCATATGTGGTTTTGTAATAGCTTAGTAAATTTATTTTCGCACTTTATTGCTTTCTAATTATACCATGTTAGAATTAGGGTTTTGTATGCGAAAAAACAACAAAAATAGTTTGACCTAATTTCAAGATAAACAAGCATGAAAATGGACACACAAATCACACTTGCACCCTCTAGGGTATTCCACTTGTTGCCTTTCAAAATTGGGCCATATTGCATGTTAGGTCTCTTTGGGCAAAACAAACACAAATCAAATGACCATAGTCCCTCGATGACGCTTTCAAAATGTTGCCTAAATAAATGATCAAGTCCCTTAAAGAAAAATTGCCCAAAGATACTTGGCACCATTGCAATTATGATCTAAACGATGACCCGCGCCCGTCCCTTTCACATCCTAACATGAGATTGTCCACCAAATACAATGGTGGAACAAACTTGTTAAAAGGGTTAAAACATAGCAATAAACTTTGAGAAATTTAGGAGTAGATAACCTCTTAGTTACTTGAATCAAACTTGCAAAAACAAAACACTTGCCTATTTTCTAAAACCACACCTCACAACACTTTCAAAACAACGTTCAAAAACAAATGAAAACCTTTTCAAAAGACATACATCTTTGTATACATCCCAACATGGATCATTACAAAGGCTGCCACCACATTGGCTTCTTTTCAAAACATTTTCAAACCCACACACACAAGCACCATTTCAAACAATTGAAAATAAAAGGCAAGTGATCTAAGCAAGTAACTAAGAGCCCATGGATAACCATGGATAGAAAGGGTGCTAATACATTCTCTTTCTATAATCTACTCCCCGAACCCAAGAAAACATCTTAAAAGGTTTTTGCTGTGCTTTTTAACCTTTCCTTAGGATAAAATAAAAAGTCGGTGACGACTCTTGCTCAATCGAAACATTTACGAAAACAAACGCAAAACCATAGTCAGTTCTCCCACCGTATCACATACATCTATCGAGGTTCACTGGACTTAAGATTTTCATGGTCACATTCATTCCTACACTTCAAGGCTTATTTCATCTTCAAGGATTTGAGGCGACGAAAATTTGAGATTGGGTTTGTTCACTCAAAACAAATGTGCAAGATTAGATAAGTTATGTGGATCTTTCATGGAATCTTTGATACTTAGAGTAATTCAATCTTTACTCAAAGTTTGAGAGGAAATTGGTTCGAACATTATTCAAATTTCACTTCATTACTATCACATATCCATCGCAAGAGATTACATGTTCATGCAAGAATTTACAAGATGGAAAAGAAACCAATACGTTCATCCCTCTTTCAAGTTTTCCAAGATTCACACAAAACTACAGCACAATTTCCGTCACCAATACATCAATGTCAGTTTAAGACTAGAAAGAAGATTACATAAAAAACCCTACATCAAGTCAATAAGCTACAATAAGCCTATTCCTAAGTTTCTTCATCTTTGTCATTCCATTCCATACTATACCAAAACTCAATGAGGTCCATCGTTTGAGTCCTTCTCTCAGCTTCTAAACAAGATCACAATTTTCCTTCTAAAACGCAACCTAAGCCTACAACATGCCCAACCATATCAGAATCGCATCAACATCTGTTACCACAGTCCTCCAATATAACCTGCAAAAATCAAAAGCAAAAATCTAGTCATCAACAGAAGAATTCAGAACTGAAGTTTCCCTAACAAAACCAGCTGCTAACTAAACCTGCACGATACCACATTAAACCAATACGTGAAAATCAGACAAATTAACCATACCCTAACTACTAACATAAACCGACACAGTGCCCTGCATCAGTTGTGAAAATAAGTGAAAAATAAAGAACATTTATAGCCAATACAAGAGACCGGTTCTTTCCTTAAATCCAGACCAATTCAATTTGAAAAGCAAAACAATAAAGGCAACCCCAAGAATCGGTTTAGGTGATTCAAACTGCATTCAATCCAAACTCATTCACCAAATCCAGTTTCTAACAGCTTTTTATCCCAATAACTGACTAACCGAATTTCAACTTCCAAAAACTCCTACGAACATAACAGAAAATACAGAGGACTGGAAAATTCAGAATTTACGACTTATCAGAAAATTAGAAGAAAGATGGGAAATATCGTGCAATTGAAACTGAATTGCCAGCTTAGCTTATAACAAAATTTCAAACAAATCTCAGCTCTCCAATTCTTGTAACTAACTTCTAGAATTAACAGTTCAGATTCAATCTCACGTAACAAACTTTTCATACACTTAACAGAATATATAAACAGATTTACCTGCATCGATCTTCATTCTTCATTCTACAGAAGAATCATACAAAAAACTCCAAAAAACTCTCCCTCATCTTCCACGCATAACTGCTCTGATTCTCTCACCTTCTTCACCATCCTCTCCCTGCAACAAATCTCATAACCTTATTCTCAAACCTCCATTACCGCACATCCCTCCTCCATAACCGAATTTCATCATCTTCATCACTGGTACTTCAGTGTTAAACTGCTCCAGCGTCGTGTTCACATCAATTCAACGTTCATCATCATCATTTTCTGCAACAAGCTTCTTCTGCAGCTTCCCATCTTCGTACACCTATAATATCCGCACGATTCAAGCCACCGAATTCGCTGCAATAGCGTCACAAATCAACAAACAGCGCATCACAATCTCATCTTCAAGAATGGATAAACAAAGAACACATATAGAAGTGAATCAGAGAAGAAGTAGAAGAGGAATTCGAAATACAAGGCTAAAGAGGATGTACCTGAGCTATCGGAACCTCCCCTCCGGTTTGCAGCAGCAGATTCGTCAGAAAGGAGAAGAGAAGGCGAAGCTATGGCGGCGATCGGAGTTCGTCGATGAAGAAGGAGGCGGAGAACGCCGTTAAGTTCACAGCGGAGAGATGAACGAAATAGGATGGAGAAAGATGACGGTGGTTGGATATAGAACACCGCGGCAGCAGATCAGAAATTGAGAGGGATTTGGCGTCGTTTCGCTAGGAAGAAGAAGAGAGTTTGTTTGGTGACAGTTCAAGAGACACTAATGTGACACTCTCCACTCTATAACGACAGCGTTTTGACTCCTTACTATTGTTTTCAATTGGATTAATAAGGATATACTGCTTAAGTGGAATTTGAAAACAAGATTTTGGTGATTCTTTCTTAATGGATCAATTCATTGGACCTAGACCAAAATTCCCCAAATTGAGCCCAATATGCAGTTTTTTTTTTTTTTGGATTTTGATGTTGGTGAAACAAAAACAGTAGTTGGACTGTCCTGATGGGCCTAGCGTCCATGTAAGGTTTCTAAACCTTCACACTCCAATCCTGGTCTCAGACCCTCCTGGTTTCTTTAGTTTTCATCTTTGTCTTCGATTTTGTGCAATTAATTTTGATATCTCTCTTCACGATTTACGGCTGAAAATTTGTATGGATATTAATATGTTGGTTTCTGACTTGGTGATATTTTTTCCATAACTTTTCTATTGTCTTAGGAATTAATTGAGTTAATGTTTGGTGCATGATTTGAATTAGGATTTTAGCGCATTCTTGTCGATTCTGTATCCTTGATTCAATTTCCTTGGCATAATAAATGGTTTAATGGAAGGTTCTGATCCTTGAATGGATGCTTGAGTTGTGCTTACATTGCCTTATTAATTGCTAACTCATTTGGTATATTTTTGTGCAAGCTTCCAACGAAGATTTCTCGCACCATGAGACGTTAGTGGAGTATTTTGCATCGTATAGTTTTGTATCTTCGTGCAGGATTATCACATGATGATTCAGATGTATATGATTTATTTTCACAAGAAGCCTTCGACGATTATCTTTTACATCCGATTTTCTAATTATTTCTCTTTGGCTTGGTGAAGCTTACTCAAGTTTTTCCAGGTTTCTCTGCTTTGCTTGTTGCGCTACGAACTTTTGTTCGTTTGGTATATTCTTTTGTTTATCTCATTTCAACACTTTACTGCTTTCTAGATATCATGAGAAGTAGAAAATAAAGAGCGTGCGCTCAAAGTCGTTGTTTAAAGTCCTGTAGTAGGCACCGCTTTCTGTATGTTATTTGTGTTTGTTTAAAATCCTACCTTTGAATTAGGTATTATGCACGTGTGTTTACATTTGTGCTCACATCTATTCCCCCATCCCTTATTGAAGTCCTCAAAAGGACGCGAGTGGAAAGGGTTAACAATCAACCCCTGTGCATTTCATCGTGTCATCCTTAACTCGTGACACGCCGCGATTCTTCGGAGTTGTGCCTAGTCTTGTTATCGAGTCGCCAAGTGGAAAAGGGTTTCACAATCAAACCCCTACATTTTTTCTTGAGATTACATCGGGCGATGTTGACGCTCCGTGTTTTTTCACTCCCCCTTAATCTTCTCACCTGGTAATACGATGCCATGGTATAGATTTTGTTCCCACATATAGCTTGTTTGCATCGGTTGATATGACCCATTGGCTAAAGCTTCCCCCTTCATCCCTGTACCCACTTGTTTTACTCGGTTTATATGACCCATTGGCTTGAGCTTGTGGATTACTTGTTTTCCATACTTGTGTACATGTTTTCTTAGGTTGTGAATCTTTGGAATATTCGCTTAGGAGCTCTTGATTCACCCTTTGGTGGTGATTCTAGATAGACATAGGTTTAGGTTGTGAACCTTTGCTATGTTCCTTTAGGAGTTCTTGATTCAACCTTTGGTGGTGATTCGAGATAGACATAGGTTTAGGTTGTGAACCTTTTCTATGTTCCTTTAGGAGTTCTTGATTCATCCTTTGTGATAATTCGAGATAGACATTAGGATAAGTATCCATGCATGCTAACGTAGGGTGGAGATTTCCCTTTTAAAACTCAATATTAAGATCAATCATTGTATGATAACATTAGGGATAGATTTAGGATAGTCCCCCTTAGATATTTTCTTTCTTTTGCATCATTGCATTAAGACTAAAACTCTTTTCTTGGAAAATGCATAAAACATCTAACAACATTCAAATCTTTTTTCAAGGTAAAAAATATCAACCAATGCAAACTCTTTTTCGCCTTCGGGCTCCTTTTCTCTTCTTTCAAACTTTTCAAAACAACATGTTAATTCACTTATGTGCTGAGGCGTGAGTCTCCAAAGGTCGGGTTGCGGCAGAAGGCAAAATTAATATTTGTTCATTAAAAAAACACAAAACAAATCAAAACATGTGAGCCGAACTACGATAACTCTGATTCCTCAAAAATGATACGTAGGCATTAGGGTAGGGCCCAAGCGAGCACAATTTTATTTTCCCTACATTATTTTCTCTTTTCTTTGCATGCATTTCCTCTTTGCATTTTTCTCCTTAGCTCTTAAGCTTTAGAGTTGAACACACCCTTTGATTAGAACAACAAGAGTGGATACCGTAGAGTACTACGGGCGTGTGGAGTATTAATACCTTCCCCTCGTGTAACAGATTCCCTTACCCGGTCTCTCAGACGTTTGATCGTGATTTCACCTTTCTCAGGTTTATTCGATGTTTACCTTTTCCTTCCCGTGGGATAAAAAATGTTCGATGGAGACTTCATTGATTTCATCTCGATGATTTGTTCAGCCGGTTGTTTCACCTATTTGTGAAAGTTAAAACACCTTCCATCATAATCTTACTAGTATATGTTGATGATGTGATCTTAACATGCAATGATTTGGATGAGTTCAATTCAATCAAGGCAACATTGGATAACACATTCAAAATCAAAGATCTAGGAAAGTTAAAGTACTTCTAGGCATCAAAGTGGCACACTCAAAGGAAGCGATCCTCCTATATCAAAGAAAATATTGCCTTGACTTAATAAAAGATTTAGGTTTCCTTGAGTCAAGACCAGTCTCTACACCATCTGATCCTGCCATCAAAATTCATCAGGACTCCAACACTCCTTACCACGACATTCCTTCATACAGAAGACTCATAGGCAAATTATTGTATTTAAATGTAATAAGCCCTGAAATAAATTTCTACACACAATAGTTAAGTCAGTTCCTGTCAGCTCATACAATCACCCACTTCATTTCTGCTTACAGAGTTCTAAGGTATCTAAAAACTTGTCCACCTCGAGGCTTACTTTTCCCTAAAAATTCAACTTTGCAATTGAATGGTTACTCAGTTGTTGACTGGGCAGGCTGCATTGATATACGCATATCCATTTCAGTCCAGTGCTTCTTCCTTGGCATCATCCATTTGTGAACTCCAGTGATTCTTATATCTCATGAAGGATTTGCATGTCATATGTACCAAAACACCTGTAATCTATTGCGACAATCAAAGTAGCCACCATATTGCCTCTAATCCTGTTTTCCATGAAAGAACAAAATACTTGAAAATTGATTGTCACATTGTAAGAGAAAGGCAAAGCAAAGGTGTATTGAAGTTACTTCCAGTCAAATTCAAAGATCAATTTGCTGATCTGTTCACAAAGACCCTCAATCCTTCAATGATTTGTTAGTCAAGTTGAAGATGATAAATGTTTACCAACCT